GGTGGCGTCCAAGTTCGCAGGAGCTCAAGGACAGGCGAACTCTTCGGTGAGTTCTTTGGTGTAAAAGACAACAGCCTTCAAAAGGGGGCAGGTTACAATAAGATGAATAGTTATATATCATTATCACTATTATTATAGTTATTTTTTTAAATCATTATTATTTATTATTATTGTATATTTATTATATATTATTATATATTAGCATTAATTATTACAATTATTATTATAATTATGTATACCATATTGAGAACGAATTTGAAAGATGACCTTTTGTTGGTTCTTCCAGTATCTTGATAATTGTTGAGCCGATGGCCTTTTTAAGTGTCTTGTAACCAGAAAAGATGATGTTTCCAGAAATTCCTGAAGCCTGATAGTGATGGGTTCAAACCCCCATTTGATCCCCATTTTTGGATGGAAAAATCGGGGGTTTCCCCGGAGTTTTGTCTTCCAGGAATCATGGTGAAACCCAAGAAGTTTCGCATTTTGATGGCTGGCTCACGGGATTTGGAGGCCACTGGCAAGTGGGGCACCAGGCGCGTTTACCGAACACCCTAGCACTTCTTAAATGGTTGTTCAAGGCGGAACTGAAACTTCGCCAAGTAATGGCAAGTCCCAAGAAAGATAGCATGCTACTAATGATGATCAATTACTTTCCTATTATTTTTGGGAGGGTTGCTACAATGCTAAATATTCTCCAACTAGGGACCCCTAGAAGGGCTTACCCTGGTGAATATAAAAAAATAGTCTATGTTGAGATGTTCGTCAAACCAATTTTGGGGTTCTGCTTCCAACACGCAAAGAAATCAGAAGGGTTCTCTGTTGCTCAGTACGACTTTGTACCTACTGATAGAGCTCGATCAATCCTTTTCGGTGCCTAAACACCGGTATGACTCTCACCGAATAAAAAGTCGCCTTGGAACAGATGGGAAGAGCGACGCTCAACTTACTGGTGCGTTTTACGCAGGGAATTTTCGGGAATGATCCACTGGCTAACGATCAATCATCATCCCAGCAACCCCCAGCAACCCATCCATTCCCTACGTAAAACGCACCAGTTGTGCCATGGCCATCAAGATGATCCAATGAGTCGCCCAGGTACATGACCTGGGCAAAGCTGGAGGATCGCAATGAGCGTCGCTTCTGGCACTTCAACACCCACTGGTGTGTGCATAGCAATGCCAACCACGTGTGTGATGAGGAGACGCGCTACAGGGGCGCCAAGACCATGGTGAAGGCTGCAACATGAGATGGGATGAATATTTTTTTGCAGCACCAAAATTGGAGGGAAATTGTACCCTCTGGTTATTTAACATAGCCATGGAAAAAGGCCCATGTATAGATGGTCTACCTATTAAATCTATTAATAGCATGGTGATTTTCCATGGCTATGTTAGTCATAACCAGATGGTAGATGGTTTTTTCTTCCTGTTTCGATCGTTGAACGAATCCCAGTCCCAGTCCCATTTCTTCTCCGACCATCAGTCTGGTAGACTTGAGCGCCTGGTGAGATTCATACTGAAGATGTCTGCAAGTAGCTGGGGTTGTAAAACCGCCTTCAAAAACATCAGAGAGTTTCCACAATCGAGCATTGCCTTCAAAAAGAACGGGCCTCCGCTTTATAATAGGAGCAGCTGACAATATCAATGATTGATGATTCATGATGATTTCAGAGGGCATGGACCTCCATTATTTGGGAGGAATTTGACACCAACCCTATACTAACAGTTTATTTGTAAACTAGGTTAACGCGCCCTTTAACCGCTGTAGGGTTGGCTGAATTCTTAAAGAAGGTATGGTTTAGGTTGCCATCAGCGCGCCCCAGAAACTGCGTCTACACAGGGGATTAGTTATGATCAGATGGCAAGCAGAAAGGGGAGTTGAAACTTGTTCAAGCCCCAACATTCTAGTACCGAAGAGCAAACAAATTGAAGACACATATCATATAATATGTAAAAACTCCTGCAGTAAAACCATGTGTAATATATGTCATCGATCTACTCTGTAGCGTTGGTTCAAAAAGAGCTGAGAGCTTAGCGGATTTGTTGTATTTATCCCCATTGTCGGTTGACCTGGTAAAATACAGGTTATCAGCCGTAGTCTCACTACTTTGCTATGGGGACCCCAATTGACCATCCTCTCGCCGTTCCAGGGTCAGGTCCATCGGCTATTGCTGTGCCGAATGTGGCCGGGGGCAACCCCGAGCCGATGGATGATGAAACAATGTTCCAACCCGTTGTTGCGTACTTTACCTTCATACAAAACAACCTGTCCCAGATTACTAGTGGGAATACCCTGCAAGTCATGAGGGAAGCTGAACAGAGGCACCTTCAGATAATGCATGGAGTAGTTGACTCAATTCGAAACGAATGGTCAAGTAGACTCGTAATGCAAGAGCAGGAGTATGAGCAAAGGCTGCAGGAGGTTGAAGGTAAGGCCATAAGTGCCCTCAACGAGGAGAGGAAACGAGGCGACGAGATGGAGGTCAGGTTTAATCAGGCTCAGGCATCGCATGACAAAAGAATAGAGGATGTAAAGGCAGAGGCAAATACAAAGCATGATCAGAAAATTGCAGAGGAAAGGCAACGTATCACTAGTGACTTCGAAGCTTCCTATGCACAGACAGTCGAACATGCAAAGAATGCCATAGCTGCCACAAAGAAGCAATATGAAGATCAGGCTGCAATTGATCAGGCCAGGTTCATCAGTTTGAGGACCGAATTCGAGAACTACAAGAAGGAGATGGCCGACAAGATCAACGAGGCAGCGGCTCAGAACCTTAGCCTTCAGGACCAAATCGATGACCTTCAGGAGCAGTTAAAGCATGTTGCCAAAGCGCAGCATGCCTCCGTTCCGAAAGCATCCGTCCAGAATGCCGAGCCGGCCGCTACCACTAGCGTGCCCCACTTCAATATTGCCACTCCCAAAGCATCCGATGCACAGGCTGCCAGAGGCAGTGATGAGCCGATTCTTGAGTTGAAGACGCCTGCAGTGTTGGCGCAGGAAGCAAAGGCCAAGTTGGATGAGCTGCTCAAAGGTGGCAGTCCCAAGCAAAAGCCGGCTGTCGGCAACGACCAGCCCCAATTGCCAACGCAGTCAGGGTTTTTCACTCCCACTGAAGCTATCAAAACTCCCCCAAATGATTCCCCTAAGAGCGTAACCAAGCAACAGCAAGTGATGGGTCCCTCAGATCTTATTGAATTGGTGAAAGCCTTAACCCAAAGGGAAGAAAAGGATAAGCCAAAAACTAAAGAGGCCGAGATCATCAAGCTGAACAACATGCCCGCTCCGGAGTCGTATAGGACTTGGAAGAATCATGTCAGGGATGAAGTGAAAAGCTGTTCAGATCGCCCGGATGAGGCGTGGCTCTGGCTCAACGAGGTGTACGATCAAGAGTGCACCAGAGAGCAGTTGGAGAAGAAACTCCAAGATCCTGGAAAGTTCCTCACGCTGGATACAAAGTTATCAGCAGCGCTCACGCGCTCAGCCGGAGGGGACCTCGCAACTAGGATCTTGAATTTCAAGGAGCAGCAATCCCGAAAAGGCATCCAGGTCAGGGGAAGGTATGTTCTGCTCATGTTTGAGGACTACTTCAAGACATCAGAAGAAGCAGGTAGCCTTTACAGAGTAGAAGATCTTTTGGGTGTTGTCAAAGTAGGCGATACTGTCCAGGATCTCCGAAGATTCATCAACAAATGGGATGCTACCCTAGCTGGCATGGCTGTCACCCCTGATGATGCTGTGTTAAGGGACATCTTGTTGAGGCAGATCCGACCAAGTCAGTTGCTGAAATATGACATCGAGATGTTTGACCGTGCTCATGAGAAATCCCATGAAAAAGTCTTATAGTTTTCTTCACCAATCCATGAAGAACTTGATCGATCGTGAACGATTGAGGGAGAACAGGAACCGCATCGCGGAGAAGAACAAGGCTGGGATCAAGGACACAAAGGCCGCACCTGCCAAAGGCGATGGTCGCGGTGGCCGAAAGGGCTCTCCAAGTCGCGGTAGATCGCAGGAACGAGGTGGCAAAGGTGGCAAGATTTGCTATAAGTTCCAAAAGGGTACCTGTGATAAGGGGAAGAAGTGTCCATTCAAGCATGTCAAAGATGATAAATCTCGAACTCAATCACCCAGAAGAACCAAAACACGTTCACCATCAAAGGGCAATAAGGATGATAAGGGGAAGAAGATGTCCAAAGAAGAAATGGCCAAAACCCCATGTATCTATCATGCCCAGGGAAAGTGCAGACGTGGTGACAAATGTTTTTATAAGCATGATGACAAAGCTGCTGCCGCCACCAAAGACACCAAAAGGGCCAATTCACCCGCTCCCAAGAAGAAGAGCAAGGATTCCACAGCCGCTCCATGCCTGATCCAGAAGTTTGCATGCATCGTTCGAAAACAGCCGAAGGCAACTTCGTGCTCTGATGAGGCAAGTGTCAGCATGAAGCGTCTTAGATTCCGAAAAGCCCCACATGTGATCGAGGTGAAGGCAGTCGGTCGTCAGGTCCCAGTCAAGCACCGTCCAAGAGAGTTCACTAAGGTGTACAAGACAGCTGAAGATGTTCCAGTTTCATCAAAGGTTGAACAACATGAGGCTCAGGTTCGTGCAAGACAGCTTCAGGAAACTGTGAAACTTCATGATTCAGATGTTGCACCGAGTTGTGGGTTTTGTTGTTGGAATGAGGACACACGTGACATCACATGCAAAGAATGCAGGTTCATCAGCGGTCCCAAAGCCCTTAGAGACATTGGTCGTTTCCCGTCAATTGCCACAGCTGCGCCAAAGGCCGGCGTTAGTTGGCTTGTCGACTCAGGTAGTGAATCCGATCTTGTGTCCAAAGGAATGCTGAGGGATGTCAGTGCCAAGAACTGCCGTGCAGCCGAGCATCCGATTTCCTTAGTCACAGCCAATGGTTCGACCGAGGCAAACGAGGTTGCCGATGTCAAGTTGTCCGCATTGCCAGATCCCGTGCATCCGTATGTACTTGATCATACCCCAGCTGTGCTCTCTGTAGGAACGAGATGTGTAGATCAGGGTTACAGTTTCGTATGGCCCGCTAATGGCAAACCAATCCTAGTCCGTCCAGATGACAAAGTCGTCCAGCTCAAGATCGAAGGTCATGTCCCAATCTTGGATGATAGTTGCAAGGTCTATCCCAAAGATCAATTTCAAAAGGATAAGCACCTCAAAAAGTTGTTTGCAATGCCGACCTCACGGTCGAGCTCAAAAGCCAAGCGGGACGAAGTCCAAGATGAAGAGCAATTGGACGAGCTGGTGGAGGATGACGCTCAGCAGGAGTACATCCGAAGCCGTAAGACTGAGGATTTGTTGGCTGAAGCTGCAAGTACCCAACATCAGTACACGCATTTCCCCAAGAACCCCTTTTGCAGAACCTGCCAACGAGCAAGGATGATGGCACCTCAGGCACGAAAGAAGGGTGGTCAGAAGAGAATCGAAACTGAAGTGTTCGGTGACCACATTATTGGGGATCATGTCATCATCAAGAAAAATGTAGAAGAGGGTTTCAGGGGGGAGCAAGTTGCATTGGTGTTGAGAGATCTGCACACCCAATATCGGTATGTCTACCCTAGCCAGTCCAAGGACTCACAAAGCTGTGTTGATGGTTTGAATCACTTCATTGGATCAAAGGATGATGTTCAAGTTGTGTACACTGACAATTCCCCAGAATTGATCAGGGCCATCAAGGATTTGGGTTACAGACACCAAACTTCCATTGAATATGTAGATTCATCAAAGTCTTTTGCTGAGCGCGAAGTTCGTCAGATGTTGGAAGGTGCCCGGAGCAACTTGTTGCAATCAGGACTTCCTTTGAAGATGTGGCCATTGGCCATGCAGCATCATGCGACCGCGATCAATGCAAGCCCCCAGCTTGACGGCAGTGAATCCCCATGGCAACTCAGGTTTGGTGAAGAGTTCCCTGCAATGCACATTCCATTTGGTGCCAAAGTGTTGTTCTGGAATAACCCCAAGAGGTTGGATAACACATCAGGTAAGCTCTCCCCAACAGCAAATGAAGGAATTTTCCTTGGGTATTACATCCAGCCAGGTCATGATTGGAAGGGTGAATACTTAGTTGCCAAGTTGGAAGCTGCAGATTATCATGTCAACTGGGGTGCACTGACAATCCAAAGAACAAAGAGGTTGGAATTGCCATCCGAGGGTTTCATCTTTCCTTTGAAAGCTCTGATTGACTCGAAAGCACCCAAAGC